ACAATGCCTCTCACTGGTTCAGAGAAGGTGTATGAAGCCTTCGTCCTGTATATAAACAATAATAATTTCACTAAACTTTACTCGTGTATTTGATGTTTACAGAACTAATACAATTCATAGCACTCTTAAGTTCTAGAATAGAGGGATGTTAGGCTAATATTTATTCTTTCAATTCTTTAATTAAAGAATATTTCCAGTTATACTTTGCAAGCATGGCATCAGCAACATTTGAAAATGCTGGGTTTAACCCTTAAATTGCTAGACTAATTAAAAGTCCTACATTGTGGTATGCATGAAAAAAAAGTGGTCAGTCACATACGGTGATTTGAGTACAGGAGGTAAATCACATAACAATTTAAACCATTTAGGGGCTAAAGGCATGCATACACACACACACACACACACACACACACACACACACACACACACACACTTGGGGGTTGATATCACGCCAGACCTGTCTCCTGCAGCACATATCAAGCGGATAACATCAGCAGCATATGCCAGGCTGGCCAACATACGAACGGCATTCAGAAACTTGTGTAAAGAATCATTCAGAACTTTGTATACCACATATGTCAGGCCAATCCTGGAGTATGCAGCCCCAGCATGGAGTCCATATCTAGTCAAGGATAAGACTAAACTGGAAAAGGTTCAAAGGTTTGCCACCAGACTAGTACCCGAGCTGAGAGGTATGAGCTACGAGGAGAGACTACGGGAATTAAACCTCACTTCGCTGGAAGACAGAAGAGTTAGGGGGGACATGATCACCACATTCAAGATTCTGAAGGGGATTGATAGGGTAGATAAAGACAGTCTATTTAACACAAGGGGCACACGTACTAGGGGACACAGGTGGAAACTGAGTGCCCAAATGAGCCACAGAGATATTAGAAAGAACTTTTTTAGTGTCAGAGTGGTTGACAAATGGAATGCATTAGGAAGTGATGTGGTGGAGGCTGACTCCATACACAGTTTCAAGTGTAGATATGACAGAGCCCGATAGGCTCAGGAATCTGTACACCTGTTGATTGACGGTTGAGAGGCGGGACCAAAGAGCCAGAGCTCAACCCCCGCAAACACAACTAGGTGAGTACACACACACACACACACAATTACACGCATTTGTGAAGGAGATTGACATTATTAATTCCAGTTTTATTGCTGAAGTTGCTTAAACTGGTAACACCTAGAAGTGGCAACTTTGGCCAAAGTGACATTTTTGTACGTGATGGCTGTTTTGGTAGCTGACAATTTGCTTTTGTTTTTTAAATTAATGTAAAGCTTAGTAACATGGTGGTTGTTGACTTATTAAAGAGCATTGATTTGAGATCCAATACTCAAGTTTCAGTATGCTAGCCCATATTTTGCTGCAGACATTGGCCATTTGAGCCAGGGAATTTTTTCAATATCTTACAGGTTTTAAACAAGGAAAATGCAGTACTGTATATTTAAAGGCTATTAAATATTTTGGAATGCAGTCTAGCATTATAAATTAATTGCTTTTATGGTTAACATTATCTTTGAAAAATACCCAAGTCCACAAATTATGATTTTTTTAATAGTACTGTATAGGAATCAAAGCAAACTCAAAATCCTATAAGTCATAAGGTGTTGGTGAAAATGTACAGTTTAAAATTGTTTTCCATTCATTTTGTTTTAATTTTTTTTTAGATTTATAACTTTTTACTGTACTCTTCAAGTACAGTATTGTGAATTTAAAATACATGCAAACCCTTCACACTTAAAGATTAAGTTCCAATGACCTAATCTTTGGGTCATGTGTTTAAGGTTTAAACCATCTTTTATTTTTTTTTTTATTTACAAGATTTGTTTATGGGAAAAGTGCTTTTAATAAACCTTTTAATTAAATTTGTCACAACTTAAAAAGTGGTGGCGATGTGTGTAGTTTTAAGTTATTAACGAAAATTAGCTCGCCTACTCAACTTTTTTTTTTTTTGTCCCCACTTTCCTGCTACCTTAATATATCCTTTTCATAAACTACTTTGCCAATTTATGGCCCTACTGAACATGTTCTGCACTTCTACTTCACAAATGATTAATGCACTCATTACCTCTTCCATTCTTTAAGTATGTGGTGCTACGATATGACAGTGACACGAGGGACAGGTGGTCAAATATAGCTTAGTCGCATTTGTTAATATAGTCTTATGTGTAAGAGGTGATACAAAAAATACAAAAAAATTAAAATCCTGTAGAAAACACATTTTGAGTCTGTTGCATATTTGCACCGACACATGGAATTTTTGTATTAATGTGCATATGAAATGTGTCTTGTGCAAGCTGTGAAAGTATTAACTGCTTTCTAAATAATTAGAGATTGCATTATACATGTCTTGAAGTTTTGTACACTAACTGTTCTTAAGATGTGCCTCTGGTAAAGGTGTGTATATAGAATAACTGCTCACACTGCATCATTGTTGACTATATTGTGGACACTGTACCGTAGAAGATGTAGGGTGGTAGATAGTCTATTATTGTAGTCGTGGCAAGGTAACCGACATGTTCACCACTGCTGCACACGGTATATCAGTTAGGCAATCTTTAATCTTATTGCCTTTACTGTCAATACAAAAGTTGTATTTGATGTCTAAACATGAATTTGTTGCAAAGTATTGTTTAAACAATTTAAAATAATAAAATATTAAGAATAAAACATTATTATTAGGATTATTTTATGGCTTTGATTTATTGTTTAACTTCACTTGCCATTTACCTTATGTGTATCCAATTACGTAAGTACTTCTATCTATATAGATGGTAGAATTGGAATAGAAAAGAAAACTACGGTAAAATTAAGACTACTAAAACGGGTATTTCTCCAAAATATCCACTAATTAATTTTTCAACTAAATGCGTTTATCTGTATATTTGTATGCTCTGAATATAGCATATAAATTGAGTGCAATTTACTTTAAATAAAGACATTTGGGAATTTCAGCTTATTTTTTTAACTTTAACTTTTTTTTAAGTCAAATTATATACATATAAAAACAAATTATAAAACTAAAAATATAAATATTTGCCGACTAGTGTTTATACAGTTTTAATAACAAAGAAAGGGGATGCCGTTCTTCGTGTCTCTTTGGGATAACGCATTTTTTGTTTCCACTTCACTGTCTTTTGGATGAAATTCCCCACAAGAGTCAAAGAAGATACCCGGGTACTTTAAATTTTTTACAGAATTAAATTTTTCTATTGGATGCAGTTTTCATTTGAAGGCTTTTTCTTCATGGAGGACAAATCGAGTCACTTTCTTGATTTTAGAATATGCTTTTAAGATGTACAGTACAGTATGTCCTTGCATACAATCATACCAAATAAATGCAAAATAACTCCTATAAAAGTACAAATGGTTATTATCGTTGATGGTAATGTGAAGACTAATTATAATAAAAGGATTAAAGTTTTTTCGTAACTCGAGTAGGGAAAAACTCAAAGCGTGCTTTTTTTATGTTTTGAAAATGGTATAACTAAGAACTTGAAAATTTCTTTTGCAAGTTAAAAACAAGGTAAACATTTAATGAATTTAACAAATTTACAAAAAAAAAAAAAGATCTTCCTACAAAACAAAATCCTTGTATTAATCACTGCAATTTCCCAAAAATCTTCAGTCTTTTCCTAAGTTGCTTCCCCATCACATGAAAGTGGGAAACAGTTATGATGAATCATTCGTATTATGCCTTGCTTTGTTGTTAAATGTTCATCTTATTGTAGCCACGATTGCACATGCTCTTATGTTGAAGAGGACAATAGGGATGATTTGACTTATGATTTACTGTATTGGACATTGCTGGTAGAAGTAGGAACGGATCCCAAAAGGGTCATGAGGATGGCAGTGGCGAGGTATATATTCCTGTTCGTGCCGATACTTGTGAAAACGCCAATTTTTTTTTTTTTGCTGATCTTGCAACTAGAATTCACGCATTCAAGCAAATTATACAAATAAAGATTTTGAAAAACTTTATATGAAATAACTTTAGTTCAAAATGATCAAACTCGCTCAAATGTTGAAGCTAATGCTGTACATTTCTTTATTTTGTATATGTAGGACATTCTGAGCAAGAAAGACGTTGCAAATCCTCGCAAGGCCAACAATGTTTGAGCAATTATGGAGTTCTTAGGAAGATAATTTGTTTCGTTTTCTGTATTTACATTAAGCTCTAGAACCCTAAATGTCATAAAAACCATGCAGGCAAATGGAAGATTTCTTTTTTTATCGGCATTGAACGATTTTATTTATAATAGTGTAACTTAAAACATTAGCCAAAATACTGTGTGTAAATTTTTAAACATGAGGAGACATCAAAAGTATTACAATACAACTTTATCACATGTGGTTCAGTTTTTATCCATGAAAACAACAAAAGTATTGCAGTGCAACCTTTACCACGCATCGTCAAAACATCATCATCGCATTACCACGAGAAGACGTCAAAATTGTTGCAGTACAACTCGACACACGTGGTCGAGTTTACGGTGATATGTCGGTTACATTGCCAAGTGCTGCTTTTAGTGTCAAGGGTAGAAGGTTGGCCTTGCCTCTCACACTGCCATATCAGAGGCCATATCTGGTGCCGGTTCTTTTGCTTTCTTATCCTCCTCCTCTAACCATGTCAGCAAACTCAAAACAAGATTTAATAGGTCAGTTAAATTTTCAGTACAAGATTGCATATAGAAATTATGCTGTTAATTGATTAGCTGCAGTTGAATTTTCTATTTGATAACTTAAAGTTTTAATTGAAAAATGATTAATCTTGTAATCAGTATTTAAAAAAATAATGGTCATTTAAGTGAAATTCATTAAATTTTCTTTATTTTAATATCAGATTAGTAATTGTGAATTAAACACACATTAAATACTCATTTAGAGTATGAAGAGTTTATTTAGGCAGTTCAAAACATCTCATCTTAATACATTACTTTCAGGAAAAGCATCATATTTTTAGAACTTGACTTATTTTTTGCCTTGTCTGTAGACCAGACCCACGTTTTGTGAGCTTCAAGAAGGAGGGGAGTGTGGGTATTCGACTCACAGGCGGCAACGAGGTGGGAATTTTCGTGACGGCAGTGCAGCCCGGGTCCCAAGCTCAGCTCCAAGGGCTTATACCAGGCGATAAAATACTGAAGGTGTGTACTAATTGTGGCAGGTGTTATTTGCCATTGGTGTTTTGCAGTGCCCTGCAATTCATGCGATTGTTGTACAGTATAGTATCCCTGTGTATATAAATATTTTATACTTTGATTTGTAATAAACAGCATGAAATTATTATTAGTGATGTAATCTTCATTAGTTATAAAGATTTATGATTGACAAACAACATGCTGTGACAACACTGTATGGTACAATAATGTTCATTTAACTTCTGAATCTAACTAGTTAATATATTCACCCATTAAAAGTATTTACATGGTCACTATTTAATCCTGCACAAATTTATATGGCAATGCAATTTTTTTTAGGGACAAATTTGGATTTCTGGACACCCAACAAATGTGACAAATGATATTCAATCATTTTATCGCCATAAATATGGGTTTACCAGGCAGGAAAATAATAGGAAATCTCAATCTAATGAAATGGTTTGAAGCTTGGGAAAGTCGGCCAAATTTCACAAGGATTCTATTGGCTAGTTTTCATTTGGAAAATAAATGTACTGTACAGGTTTTGGTTAACCCTTTCACTATAAAAAATGGGCTGAAATTGCAAAATGTGGTCTCGGATGCATTGAGATTTCAATGACCCTGATGTAGATCAGCTACCTTATATAGCCCTAGATCAACATAGAATCAGCAATGTGCTGATCCATGATTGGTCACTCAAGCCCATGCTGCCTTCGTGCCAACCAAATGGGTAGCCTCATCTCTGATCTGATCCTGATGAGGTATGGCATCCTTTGCTCTTCAACAAGAAATTTTAACATACCAAGATGAGGGTCAAACACACACACACCTTCATTCATTAGCTAAACACAGATGCCGAAGAAATATAAGAAAATTCACTTTCACAAACAGAGTGGTAGATGGTTGGAACAAGTTAGATGAGAAGGTGGAGGAGGCCAAAACCATCAGTAGTTTCAAAGCGTTATAAGACCGAGTGCTGAGAAGACGGGACACCACGAGCGTAGCTCTCATCCTGTAACTACACTTAGGTAATTACATACACACACAACCCCATGCACGCATAGTGCGGTGCAGTGATAGGCTGAAGATGGAGATTTCTAGATCATGTACTCATTACACTACCCTGTATTAAAAAATTTCAAGTATTTTTTGTACCCTCTTTTTAATCATTGCACCTTTCGTACTCTTTACCATCCTGTTCATATTGCGAGGTGTGCCTCCTGCTGGGAAATTCCTTTCTGTAACACTTGTATGATCAAACTATTTTAGTTTGCATAACTATTATAACAAGACAAATGTTCTCTACCAGGTTAACGACATGGACATGGCAGGCGTGACGAGAGAGGAGGCAGTTCTTTACCTAATGAGTCTTCAGAATCAGATCGATCTTATTGTACAGACACGTAGACATGATTATGAGTGCATCCTGAACAGCCAGAAGGGAGACCTGTTTTACATTAAGTAAGTCTAAAATGTTTGTTTAATACTAGGTGGGATAAATTGATAGGAGATAACAGTTTTTCCCCCGCAAACCTGTAGCTGCACCCTTTCACGTAGGCACAGTGTACCTGCACCCTTTCCCTCTTGTTGTTCCTAACAATGGCTTTCATTGCACTGGCCATTTTCCTTAACTTACTTTATTCGTAACGTCACTTACACAAATTTCTTTTATCCAACATTCACCTTCGGTATTTAACGCTGGAGATATGTCTAGTCGAACACCACTTCTCTATTCATCTAGAATTTATACACAATGTTCTTATATTTCTACTACCAATAAATTACACACAGTTGCATTGTTTAATTTTTCTTCTACTCATGCATACAACTTTTTAAGTGCTGCATTTTGCATGTTTCTTATTCTCTCGTATGTACCTATATAAAATTTGACATTCTTCATTTATTCAATCCTTCATCTAGTACTGTACTATCACTTGAATCAGTACAAAGGTAATAACCTTCATACACTCCTATATTTACATCAACCTCTCGCTAAACATTCCAGGCACTCCGGGATATTGACCGTATCCTCCGTGAACCCTCTTCGCTCATGTCAACACATTAGTACCTTCAAACCGTGCAAATGCTAATCACTTTTCACAGGCCTTCTCAATTCACGTCACCCAGTGTACACCCTGTGGGAGTAATAAATATAAAGTAGTAAAGGCTGGGCATTTTACAGTCATTCTTGTTAATTGCCTCACTGCAAGCATCTGATTCACAGGACTTCACTAACATGAAATCTTTGTTCATTTTTGAAAATGAATAGCCCAACCCTCACATACAAAAAAAAAAAAATTACTTTCGATTCATTCTAGATCCGTATCAAGTTGTGTGACTTGGTTATAAATTTTCAGTCATGTTTGCAACTGCATCATTTCTAAAGTTCCTTCATTTCTAAATTTCTCAGTAATTTGCTGTGCTCTTTCATTCACTATTTTTGGTACACAGTTAATCCAAAACAAATATAAATGCCCCTGTATTTCATACACTCAGTGTATGAGCTACTCTGTTACTGTTATTCAGTGCCAGGCATAGATAATCTTCATAACTGTCACAGTGCAGCTTTGCCACACATTATGGTACAGTGCTACTTTGCCACATTAAAAAAATATACAAGTATCACATGTTTGCATTTCAAATATGCAGTTTCCATGTTTATTTTTCTCACATTTTGTATGGCTTTTCACTCGAGTTTAAATTAATATGATTATTTTCTTGGCAGGACACACTTCCACTATGAGCCCAATGGGAAATCCGAGTTAAGCTTCCGTTCAGGAGACATCTTTAGAGTGGTGGATACACTACATAATGGTGTTGTGGGGGCATGGCAGGTAAGGCCAAGTGCACATGGTTTCCCATATGCAACTTATAGTAATCAATAAACAAGCTTTTTGTGATCTATATTTACTATGCGAGTTCTGATGTCACCGTTACCCATGTGCTGCTTTGTATACATTTATTGTACAATGATGATAAAGATATCGACTATACATCAAATTAGTTATCCCGATATTTTTTTTTTCCACTTTTTTATATTTAATCTTCACATATCACTTTTTTCCCCCCCATCATGTAGGAAGTATGTAGGTAGGTAGGTAATATATGACCTATGATTAATATGACTCATTTCACTTATTTGTCAGCCAAACCAGAAATAATGTCAATATTGTTAAAAACCCAACCCACACATGCATGAAATTAAATGAAATGAAAGACGTTTTGGTTCATCCTGAATCCTAGTCATGACATAGCAAGAGTAAAGGCAAGGTGAAAGGAGGGAAGGGGATAAATGAAAGCATAAACACCAAGATAACACAAGAACATAAAGGGAAACTGCAGAAGACGTTAAGACGTTACCTTAAAGCAGAAAAAAAAAAAACTTTTGAAACAAGACTAATAACCAAATATAGAGAAAGAGGAACAACAGATGTAAGGAAAATATAGAGGGCCAAATAGCCAAGACAGATGATGGAGCAATTAACTATGTACTGAGAAAGGCAAGAGACAACAACAAAGCCAGGAACAAGGGTCATGTGGGGCATGTGTGAATGAGAACCAATTCAATAAGACACAATAACTAAAAAAGCACTAGCTGTGGATAGTAAAATTAATCGGTGTTAAAAATATGGGAATTTGAAATATTTTACATGGAGGTTCCCTTAGCTTTGAGGTCTCATGAATTACTGGTAATATCTTGGCATATGCTCGGTAGTCGACTGTAAACGTCTTTCTTACAGGTTCACAGAATTGGTCGCAACAACCAAGATACCCAGAAAGGTATTATTCCTAACAAGGCTAGGGCAGAAGAACTGGCCACAGCTCAGTTTAATGCAGCAAAGAAAGAGCAGACACAGTCAGAATCACGGAGTGGGTTTTTCAAGAGACGGAGAAATTCACGAAGATCCAAGTCTCTAGGAAAGGTGAGATGTTTAAAGTTATATTTAAGAAAGTTTTACATCAAAAAGATGTATATATAAATATTGTTGTGGTAGTTTTATGTAAGGCTGTTTCAAATATTCTTACTTTGAATAATATTCTATTATTTCCTGTCTAAGGATTATACGATAAACAAAATGGTAAACCTTTATTCTTACCAGATGATGAAAGCTTATTACTGTAATTATAAAATAGGTATTTATTTTTTAATATGGAAATGAATGGTTACTTGCAGCCTTTGCACTTTGCATAGTTGTCCTTTTATAAGGCTTAATAATTTAAAAGTACATGGGGTAAAAGATTGGTTTCTACTTGATTGGAAGATAATCTGTTCCTGCCCTTTAATTGGTGGCATCATTTGTATGGCCTTTCTCGGATCCAATCTATTAAAGGTTTGCAAGCTCAGTTTTTCCTGCAAGAATTGATTTCCCCCCCCCCCATTTTATGCCTGTTTCTGAGGTGTCCACTCTGTTTCTTCCTACTAACTTCTGGTTAGTATCTTGGGTCAACATTTTGCACCATTGCTGCAAGGACCTTTTCAAACTCTCCACACTAGATCATATTGGCTCTTGGGAGACGAAAATACTTGCATCCAGACAAAAAGTCAGCTATAAAGTGCTGTCAAATTTAGTGTCTAGTCCACTCGACATTACTGGGACTGCCAAGCAGTGCCTCTGCTAACTGCGCATTGGTAATGACCTACAAAGTCACTTTTCCCAACCATCATCAAGTGGCAGAACACCACAAATTCTTGACCCAGGTTCTTCACTTTCTAGGTGTTTTAATGTCCAGTGTGCTCCTGCTACATTTGTCACTACTTCTCCTGTGTATTTAGACAAAGCCAGAGTTATTTTGTCTACACCCGGGCCGTTTATGCTTTCAGCCATGTTTATTCTCCGACCTGTCCTCTCGAATAATATCTTATTTTGACACCAAAATCCCCAAAGGACAAATTATGATGTACTATAAATCATAGTGGTTCACAACTACATCTTCTGTGCGTGGGTCCATCAGTTAGGTTTGGGCAATGTAGTACATCATTTTCTGTCCATTCTGACAACTCTAGAGGATGAGCTAGATTTTTGAGTTTTGGGTGGTGTTGGATCTCCTACAGACACAGGTAAGGAAACCATAATTTTTGTATTCCGAGATGTGATTATCTTCTGGATGATGGCTGCAAATACTCCTTGATTTTGGCTACAATCAATAAGAACATAAGAACAAAGGTAACTGCAGAAGGCCTATTGGCCCATACGAGGCAGCTCCTATCTATGCATGTCTAGTTGGGTTGAGCAAGTGAATGGGTGTCTTAATAAGAGACAGTGGAGTAGAAAGGGGAGGAGTCTTTGTTTACACTTTAGTGCAATTCATCAGATGTACATTATGTGCAATACCAATTTAATTTCAATGTTCTTCAATTAATAGGACCACTGGGAGGATGTGGTGTTTGCCGATTCAGTGTCCAAATTTCCAGCCTATGAGAGAGTTGCTCTACGACATCCAGGTTTTGTGAGACCTATTGTCTTGTTTGGTCCCCTAGCCGACATTTCACGGGAAAAATTACTCAAGGAAAATCCGGACAAGTTTGCTTCTCCACGTAAGTTTGTGCATGGAAATTTAGGGGCAGGCTGCTCATTTTGTACACATTAGATTTTAAGTGGAAAATAATGACAATCACAGCTCTAATACAGCCATAGATTTTTCTTTGGATTCATTATTTTAAATTATATTTATGTTCTATTCATTTGATAACTGGAGATTCACCATCCATTGTTACCGAGTATATTTAAGGGTATCATTGATGTTGACTATTTCAGATACTATTTGATGTCAAGATTTTATCAACTTTATTATAACTGCATTCATTTTGTGCATTCATTAGAATAAGATTAATTATTTTTTTGTGTAAGCTTGGAAATGTATTAGTTAACTTTTTGTTGCCATAATTGTTTGGCACCTGTTAATCAATATAAATGTATAGACATGTTAACTGTTGAAGTTATGTACATAATCACTGCACTTTTGTTGCACCTGCATTTTTTGGGCTATTTTAGCACTGTGCACCAATTGCATAAATTATATTGATATTTTTGTAGAAAGCACAGATCTAGTGAACCTTTTTTTCCCCCTCTGCTTGTTCCATGGAAGGTCCTTTATAATAACCATGGCTCATGCTACTTTCTAAAAGTTGTTGACAAACTAATACTGATGGCTATCAACAATTGTCAATACACCAAAACCAGCATTTGATTTAAATTTAAATTTTTTAAGATTCCAAATGAATGGGACTGTCCTTCCCCTTCGAGACTGTCCTAAATTGTGTTCCCTTCATTCCTGTTCCTTTGATCAGCACAATATGTTTATTGTGTTAGTATCCTCTCTCTCATTTTCAAGTACAATTTAATTTACATCATCTATCCATTGAAACTCCGTTTTCCGTAGTTCATTTGCACTCAAGGTGGTCTAGATGTCTAAAAACATCAAGCTATGTTAACCAGAGAATCTGGATTATTTAAATAATAAATCTGAACATGATAGACATAAGATCGCTGGATTGTTTGAAGTGTTAGTGAATGCACTTTGGCTGGAGTAGCCAAATATATAAACAAAAACAAAACAGTGTCACTGGGCCAATAGGCCCAGGTTTCAGTATGTTTTACACATCCAGTATGTTGGATGTTCCATCATCAGTGAAACATAGGAGACTGGCAAGCAATAGTGGGCCTATTAGCCCTTGTGATACTTCACTTCACTCTTATATTTGGCTGCTCCAGGCAAATTGTATTCACATATACTTAACCCTTGAAATGGTTGACAGGGTGAACAAAATGCATCTTAGTGTCAGACCATAATAAAACTAAAATGAACTTTGGCATGTTAATTTGTTAACTGCCTCTTCAAGTTTAGAAAAATACAAGAAAGATTCATACTAGAATCATTGATCTCACCCTTTGTCATATTCAATAACATATATATATACAAGAAAGACTACTACCAGAATCTACCAATTCATTATTCTGCAAGTGAATTAGTGAAAGAACTCCTACCAGGGTACCCAAGAGACTACATTGGGATTTTTTTTTTCCCAAATTCACTTTTTTGTTTGCAGGGATATTCCTGCGCGTGCTCTAAGCCTCTGGCTGGCCCACTAAGTGTTGCTTGTTTCCGTTTTACTTGGGCGGAGTATGAGTACTGTACGACTCGTATGGTCGCTTCAGTAAAATTTTGTCCCATGTGTTTAACAACTTCTGCTCTGTTGAATAAGTTGAAATCTTAATGGGTTTTGTAACTGCACTGTGTTAGATAATGTGTCTGTCGGGCATTTCTCCACAGTACAGTACTGATATTTCCTGCCATCTTCTGGAACCTGTAAGCCTATTTCTTATGCACATGGATATCCAAGCCCGATGCAGTGCGAGTGTACTTCTGTCGTTGTTCTGCTCCCTTTCATCAAACTAAGTGGTTTGTAGTTGGTTGAATTCTGGTACCAACCCGCAGATCCTGTTGTTGCAACTGCTGTGTTGTGGTCACTGTACATCTTTTGCATTGCTCTGTTTCTAAATACTTAATCTGTGATAGATTCTGTGGTATGTAAATGTCTACATTTCTTCTCTTAATTGCAAGTTTTGCAGCTTCGTCTGCACTGTCATTTCCTATTATTCTCACGTGACTTGGCACCTAGTTGGTAAGTACCCGACAGCCTTGATGTTTGAGTGTTTGCATTAATGATGACGTTTGTGATCAAATGGATGTTATCATTGTGTTCTTGTTGCAAGGTTTCAGTGGCAGTTCTTTAATCTGTATGTATGATAACATGTCGGTGTTCAGCGAGAGCATGTTCCAAAGCCTTTGAATGGCTAGCATCCCTGTTTGTAATGTCAAACACCCATTTGAGTCTCCAACTATTTACAGAGTTTCCTGCTTTAACTGCAGCTCCAGTTTCTTGTCCCTGCTGGTCTACTGATCCATCTGTGAAGTATGTGAAGCTGTCAGATGGCAGGTTTGCTTCTATATGCATCTGTGCAACATTACGTAGCAGATGAGGATTAGTCTCGTTCTTTTTTACTTCAAGAGCCATAATCTTAAAGTCTGCTGGTAGAGATTCCCAAAGGGCTTGCATAATCAAGTCTGCATGTATTTCGTCGACACCCCTCTCAGTGATTGTGTTATATCAAGGGTATTGGTATTTATTGCACAATGAGTCCACCTGTTGCTATTGGAGGCACTTCTGTCTCGAGTTAGTGCGCCAGTGATTAAATCCAAGTGAACCGATTCTTGGTCAATATCTTTGTCAGCGTGCACGCAGCAATCCCTTTGACACTTATTTCAATTGACGTTAGCTTGGTTTCTATTCTTAGGTTCAGTATTTTATAACAAGGGCTCCCAAATGGACTGACTCGCATTGCATCATTTTGAATAACCTCAATGTTTGCCCACTGACCATGAGAGAGAGTAAAGTAGGCGCGCTGCATAATCAACTAGGAAACGAACGGCATGTATGTAAAACATTCTTAACACTCTGTGTCCCGCTCCTCGACGGGGCCCTGTGATTGCTCTCGTTACATTCAGTCGTGATTTTGCCTTCTTCAGATATTGAATTTGCTTATTGAATGTCATTTTAGAATATATCCACACTCCGAGATATTGATATTATCCTTTAGTGGGCTACACAATGTCTTGAATGCATAGGTGCCTGTCTGGAGTGTTGCTGCCTAGTCTCATTGCCTTAAACCTTTGTGCAGATGTTTTTTAGCCCTAAAATGTTGCATTCAGATGTTACTTTATCTAATGCCTCTTGAGGTCTATTTAGAAGTGAAGGATCTGTAGTGACTAATGCTATATCATCAGCATAGCTTAGCAATTTAACCCCTTCTGCAAATGTCATGGTAACGATGTTTTCCATAAGGATGTTAAAAAGACTAGGACTGAGGACGCCTTGTGGAGTCCCATTCTCATGCAAGTGATAGTCCAACATGTCCTTGCAACTTTACTCTGGCATACCTGTGACTTTGGTAATCTTGAATCCATCCTAGCATATTTCCCTTTACACTTTTTTTTTTAACCAAGGTGTGTAAAATTGCTTGCAGGCTTACAAGTTCGAATGCTTTTTCTAGATGAAGGAAGATCACTATAGCCAAACCTGAGTTACCTGTTCCTAGTAATGTTGCTAAGCAGTTGGCAGTACCTACTACTCTAGTGAGGTCAAATGTGTGTGTATGCAGGTCTCCAGTCTTCCCCAGTAGCCTATTTAATTAAGACCATCCGTTCTGCAGTTTTACTAATGCATGATGTTAATGAAATAGGTCTGTAAATGCCAGGTTCTTTCAACTTAGGAATTGGAATGATGTCTGCTTTCTTCCAAGAGGTCTGTAGTTTGCCTTGCTGCCAAGATGCATTGATAACTTTCAATATCCCTTGTTCTCCAGCAGGACCTGCATGTGCGATCTTTGAGTACATAATGTTATCTGCACCTGGTGCAGTGTCCTTACCACCTTTTTTGGCTTTGATTAGTATATGTTTGGTGAAGGGACAGTCACATTCGTCATTAGTGGCTATGTTCTCATGAATGGCTGTCTACCTCTCTTGTTTTAATTGTTCTTGCTGCCTTCTGACCATTGCTGGAAGCTGATATGAAGCTGCTCTTTCTGCAAATTGGAGAGAAAGTCTCTCAGCCTTCTTCAATGATTGAATACATGCCTGTGGTCGGGCTGGTCAACCTCATATGGTTTTAATCTGACCCCATATCTTGCCAAGACTACTATGTTTATTTAGAGTTTGACACCACTCAAACCATCTTGCCTCCTTTACCTCTAGAAAACTCTTCTTGCTTCAGATATCACCGCTCTTAGCAGAGTTCCTCCTTCTGGTGTGGGGTTTATCTTTAGATGTTTTCTGAAGATGTTGACACTCTGGTTTTTGTTCTTTAACTTCATTACTATAGAACCAATAGTTCTTTTGTTTTGCGTTTCCTGGAATAATGATTGGAATAGCTTCATTTGCAGCAGCTGCAATGGCTTCCTGCAGATTGGTCTCATCTATGTTCAAATCCTCAGGTGGCGTGTATGTTGTATACCATTTTTCAAGTTCCTCTTGGTATATATTCCAGTTGCCTTTTTTTTTTTTTTTTTAAATTCCACCTATATTGTGCAGGTGGTGAAGGTCATTTTATTTTTGGTGTTGTGACAGTAGGGTAGTGGTCACTGGTGATCACCGGGTCTACCTTCCACTTCTGATACTCGAGTGGTGTTGAGATTAATGCAAGACCAAGGGAACCTCCTTGAATGTGAGTGGGTTCCCTGTGTTAAGAAGTGTAATTTCAGGTACTTCTTGCAGAACTGTAGCTAAATGGCACCCATCTGCATTGGCTGTCCCGGTCGCACCTAACTATGATGAGCATTAAAATCCCCAGCAATAATTACATTTTCATGCATGGCCAAGGCAGGCACTGCCTCTGCTTCTAGTTTATGTCTAGGCGGCTTGTAGACATTGTATATGAGGAGCTCAATATTAGCCATATTCACTGCTAATACCTCAACTCCATCCCCACATGACACTGGGTCTATTTTCTTGCTGGGTATGGTGTTTCTGACTAGTCAT